GCAGGTGTCCTAGTCTGCTGGCTGCAAGCCCATTCATTTTGCTTCACCACCTGGCTTCCTCTGGGACCTGTCAGTGCACCAGGGATGGTGGGGCATCCTAGAGCTGCAGGAAGTGACCCAGGAGCAACTGCTCGCTAAGGCAGGCCCCCAGGGAGCCAAACTGCTGGCTTTGGCCCTGCCAGTAGGCTGGCTGAGAAGAGCAATGATGTGGAAGTATCTTAATGTTTTAAATACATAATCTGGGATTAGAAACCTATTCACATGACCTTTGTCCGTTCTTGCCTGGAGCCACTGCAGTGTAAGTTAATAAATAGTGCTGGAAATGGGCAAGGGGAGGTGGGGTTTACACTGGTGCTCCAAGGGAACTGAAGGAGACTTCAGTTTCCAGCACTTAATGTTACTTTCTAGAGCACTGAAACCATCTGGTTTGGATGAGAAGATGGTCCTCATACTTCACCATCAGAATTACAGTGGTGGTCTTGGCTGACAGTCCTGAATTCCAAGCCTGTTGTCTAACAGCTGTCCTCAAAGGTTGACTCAGTTTTTAGGATCGAGTCCACTGGCATGTGGGTTTGCTCCAACTCACAGCAACTCTGGAGGACAGAAGTAGAACCGTTCCGGTTTCCTAGGTTGACATTTTTACTGAAGGAGATTCCCCATTCTTTTCAAATTACTTTCATTTAACAGCCAAGCATTTAAACATTGCACTATTTTTGTGCTCCTTATGTTGATCATTTGTTGTTGTGTACCATCCAGTTGGAACTGAACCGATAGTTGTCCCTTGAGCGGATTTTCAGAGGCAATAAATAACATGGGAAGAGACTGCTCATCTTTCTCTCATGGAGCTGCTGGTGGACTTGAACCATGGGCCATTGGGCTAGCAGTACAAATCCTTTCCACTAGGTCACCAGAGGTCCCTTAAGCATAATGCTCTACAAATGTTCTTCATATGAAGTTTACAGTGGAAACTTTTAGTAATGTAGGTTCTCAGGCTGCAGCCAGGCTCAGGGCTAGGATGCAGTGGTCTGCTTTAACCAGGTCCGATTCTAGACCTGAGGCCATCTGTCACCATCTCCTCACTGGGGCTTTACCTGGACCTGTTTTCCCAACTGGAAACTGAACAGCACCTCCCTATCGTATCTCCTGAGTGACTTGCCCAGTGGGGCAAAGGGAATTAGGACCCAGGTATTTGTTGATCCTTATCACTCTGTTCAGGGCAGAATTCTCACCTTCCTTGTGAGAGGCCTGAGCTCCCTTCTGGCCAGTAAAATGTATACAAACATACTGTCAGTAGAGTTTCCATAGTAGGAAGGAGTAAAGAGAAAGGCCCGAGATCTACTTTGGAGAAACAGCCATTGTAAACCTGGGGTGTGTATGTGAGCTGGGAAGAGGGAGGCAGCTGACAGCAATCACTTCAAGCCCGGCCCTGTGCCCCCTGGTGTGTGGGTAATGCACCCACACAGGGAAGCCACAGGACAAAGGGGCCACATGCTCCTGGGTTTTTAAGAGTGTGAGACCTGAGTGCTATACTTTAATACAACAGAAAAGGCGAAAAAAAAAAATTTTCTAAACTGGTGCCCTTGATGTGTTGGAACAGTTCAATGGTACTTTCTTCTGGGCTCCACCCCGCAGCCCAGTTGCCTTGGGTTGAGACTCAAGACTCCACTCTAGGCCATGCTCCTGATTCCTCCCCTTCATCATGAGTCCTGGATGCGCCTGTGTCAGAGCAGGGGACCTGTGTTGTGGCTGAGTGGTCTCGAGTCTATTGATTCTACTTTTTTAGAGGCGAATGTTCTCAGTACTCAGCTGAGGAGAAAGACTGGAAAGTGAAGCCTCCACTCATGCAGCCCGCTGTGCATGATGTGTGACAGTGGAGCAGGTCAAGAAAGGGTCCTGTGTTCTGATGTGGGTGCTGCCCTGACCAACACAGCAAGGGTCCTGAGCCCCCTTAGATTCCAAGTCAACCACATGGACTCAAACACAGGAATGGGGACAAGCTTTCTACATACCTGCCGACAAAAAAATGGCATCAGCACAATGAACTGAAGTAAGTTTCGTTTATTCTAGGGCAAACTCAAAAGGGTTTTCTGTTGTTGGTTTTCATATTTAGCAAATTCTAGCACATTAACAAAAAACTCTGTACATTTTCCATGATACATTTGAGTGAAACAAGTATGATATAAATACAGATATGGATGTAACATGAAAAAGCCTAAACAAAAAACAAACAAACAAAAAAGCCCAACCTAGGTGTGGGGTCATGCGTGTGAACACAGCGCCAACAGAATGATTGTGGTGGCTGGTAATTTTCAGAGTGTTTCTTTTTCATTTCCAAACATTATTGTTAGCAAAGTTCTGGTGGAAAGTCTATACAGTTCTTACTTGTTGACCTTTAATGTGTAACAGTATGCTTGATAAATAAATGGCAGCAGGGGAAGGAAAAAAAAAAAAGACTTATGAGACCAAAATGCAGCTGCATCACTGCATAGAGAACTGGTAAGCTAGTGACAGCCATAGAAAAGGCAGTTGTCCCGGCTGGGTGTGGCAGACCAGGGCTGATGCCTGGCCCTGCCACTGGGCTGCAGGTGCCCACACCCCGCCTGCAGAGGGATGGTGCAGCTGAAGGGAAGCAGGAGGTCAGGTGAACCTGCCCCAGGCATGGGGCAGAGGTGGCTTCTGAGATCCTGCACAGGACGGTAAACAGGAGGCAAACCATTTTGGGTGCGTAACTGTCTTGTGATTATGACAGTCCTGTAGAGGCAGCAGCGAAGGCAAGGCGACTGCAGCTTCCCGATGTCAACTCCCTCCCCATGAGGTGGCGGCGGCGGCATGCGAGCATCCCCTCAACGGTGGGTGCCTCGATGGGCAGGCGCGGGGAGCAGCAAGGTACAGACTGCGCCCAAGAGGCCTGTGAAGTGATTGTCCCTCTCTCTGGTCAGGAGGTGGAGGGCTGGGCAAGTGACATTCGAGGCTAGCCCTTTGTGAGTACTATGCAGAGACGAGACAAGCTCAAGATTCTTCCCAGCTACACCTGGGGGCCAGGGACCTTCTGGAGAGTCAGAGAACTGAAGGAAGAGGTATTTCTAAATGCACTGGATTCTAGGAACTCATAAATAATCTAACTGGAAGCAAAGTTCTACAACAGAGTGGGAGCCCAAAGATTTCTGGACTCATATAGGGAGCATCAAAAAGAAAATGATTAATGAAATACTAATATATAGCATCAACCAAGGCAGGCCTGGTCCTGTTGTTTTAGCCAAAAGCAACTCAGTGTTCTTCAGCCATTTAAAACATCCCCTGCAGTTCCCAGAGAAGCAGCCGGAGGCACCTCCTACATTCTCCTCATGGCATCCAGCATGGGTTGATCCTGGGCCTGACAAGGTGTTTTTTACAGAGCACATTCCCAAAAAGCTATTTCAAGTAAATTATGAATGAAGAAGTAGAATGTTTGCTACAGTGTTTTTTACAACTTCCAACAAAATCTGAAGGGCTGGGGTAGGAATCAGCATGAGAACCACCCCATTGGGACTCCTCAGTCCTGCTGCCCCAGTGGATGCTCATGGCAACAGAAAACGTCTCCTTACAATGAATGTCAAAACAGGCATTTCCTTAAGGAAAAAGCAGTTCAATTTAGAGGCTGTATAAGAGAATAATAAAAGACAATCAGAATTCTTGATGATTACATTACAAATTTCCATTTGATTTTAAGAATATTATTCAGTCTGTTACCTAACAAGACTTGAAATCGTTAAATTTTTTTTCTTGAAGAAATGAAACCACACAAGGATAAGGCCTTAGTGGTTTCTCACTTAAGAGAAGGAAAGAGATTCCAATTAAGTTCCAAATCTTGGATTTTTTTTTTGTAATATGCTTTTTTATCATAATTACTTTTTCCTTAAACAATGACTATTTCAACTGATGATCAGAGGAATACTTACATTTACAAAACAGAATGATTCTGACATACAGTTTTTTTCCTGACTTTTCTCTGATCTTAATTAAAAAAGTAAATAAGGTGGCAAATTTGCCATTTATCACACAAACTGAGAACATTTTAAAATTAGGGGTAGAGGAAAAGATACCACTATATCCTAATCATTAAGTACCCTTGAGAATCACTGAGAACATAGTGTTTTTTTAGCAGTGTGACAGCTTTTCTTATATCTTAAGTACTTCATGAAATATCTTCTTGGACACCCTCTCAATGATGCTTTTGTCTATCTTGATTTTTGTGTTTGGAGTTAGGTTCTAAGAATTCTTGTAAATGAGAGCCTTCAAGAAGCATCCTTCAGAGACAATGAGGAGCAGACCCTGGAAGGAGACCACGGGGCTGAGAGTGAGGAGGTGGCCCTGGAAGGAGATAACAGCTTGTTGCTCCTCACACTCAAAGTTAAAAAAGGGCAGCGTGCCCCACTCTAGAATGAAAAAAGCAAAATTCCCAGTGTTTGTTAAAAGGCTGTCTTTCAACTTTTCTCATTTGTTGACCAGACTTGACATCTTTAGATGTTCCTAAAAATCCACCTTAAAGTTATACCACGCTTTTATGCTGTCAGCTGCAAAAGGGTCAAATTTCTGTATCACATAGGCTAAATTTACAAAGAAACAAAACATGGAAAAAAGAGCAACCCAAATTAACATCCACCCCCAATAATAACTGAAGAAAAAAATATGCTACTTTCTACCACGTGTCGGCGTGAGACTGAGTTTGAAAAGCTGGCCCCACAGTGTCGTGACCTTAGTAGCCGCACGAGATGACATGTCCAAGTATGGCTCTTCTCTGATTGCTTTGTCTCGTCTGAAGACTGCACTGCAGGCCTTGCTTCCTTTACATTCAATACCAGTAAGATTCTACATAAAAGCTGGAAGGGACCAAAATACTGATTGTAATAAATATGTTTGGGCCTCCTTGTACTGACTAGGCAGTTGATGAAGGGGGTGAGGAGAGGTCTTTGAGGCACCACCGATTGCTTCTAGGTCTACACAGAGGTCTGGTGCTGCCATTAGCTGTGTGTGGAGACGTCAGATGAGGAGCTGCTGTTGCTGTTTGTGGTCTGGGCCCTCTTTATATATAAGTTTAATAGCTTCATCTGAAATGAGAAGATAAAAGTGAATTAGTAGGACAAATAATCAGTGAAAAAGAAAACAGGAAGGATCTCAAGTGATAATCAGAAGCCAGAAGATTCCTTGGGTAAGAAACTCTTGGCAGAAACACCCACTGCACGTCTTTGACTATACAGCCCCGTGCCATCCCCACATCTGCCCCGCGTTCTGGCCCAGCACTTAAAGGGATCCTTCAGCTGGGCTTCTGAGGTTATGGCGATTTTTTTTAAAGGATACATATGTTTTTGTTTTTTTTTTTAAATTTGTATTAGCTTGCATCTAAAATTCGTATACATTGTGCTTCATTCATATAGCCTGGGTTTCACACATTCCTTTATTCACATTGTGTTTCATATGATCACTCTCATATGATGTGTTTTATAAAACTAATCACCATTGATCCGTGCCCACTATCATCCCATCTTTGCAGGTCCTCATTGGATCTTTCATAATTCTATAACCCTCCCTCTGCCCACCAAACTCTGTGACCCTCTGATTTCTCCACCCCGACCTGAGTCCCCTTGCCTCCTCCACTTCCCCCTTTGGACTTTTATATACATCTTACTAGTTATCCTTATATTTTCACAATAATGATCTTATGCAGTATTTGTCCTTATAAGCCTGAGTTAATTACACAACAAAATGGTCTCTTGCATCTCCCATGTCACATAGTATTTTTCGAAATCTTTGCTCTTGAGTGCTGCATAGTAATCCAGCATGTGAATGTACTACTATTTCTCAATCCATTTGTTTATTGATGGATATTTGGGCTGTTTCCATTTTCTTGATATTGTGAATAACACTGCTACGAACATCAGTGTACAAATCTCTGTTTGTGTCTCAGTTCTTCTTTCCATAGGGTTTATTCCTAGCAGTGGAACAGCTGAATCATATGGAATTTCTGTTTCCTCAGCTTTTTGAGGAAACGCCAAACTGCCTTCCAGAGTGGTAGTTGGCTCTACTTCAACAGCACACAACAACAACAACAGGGCTACCATTTTATAGTCCCACCAACAGTGTATGAGATTTCCAATCTGTCCACATCCTCTCCAAGATTTACTGCTTGCTGTCCTGTTAGATGTTGTCACTGCCACTGGGGGGTGAGATGGTATCTCACTGTGGTTTTGATTTGCATCTGATGGCAAGTGATTTTGAGCATTTTCTTCATGTGTCTGTTGGCCATCCAAATGTCCTCCTCTGTGAAAAGTCTTTCCATGTCTTTTGTCCATTTTGTAATTGGGCTATGAGTCTTTTGAACACTGTAGTATTCTGTAAACTTTTGTTCTGAGACCCTTGCTGAGGTTATAATCCTTAATGGCAAGAGACTGCCCACCATTCCCTTCTCGTGGAGCAGCTGGTAGATTCAAAGCACCAGAGATGCATGGGGAAACACCATTTGTGCTAGACCACAAGAGCTCCTCTCAGGGGGGTAGTACTCACCAACATTATAGCAGGTACTAGGGCTACCAAAAGGGAGCTCTGGGGGCCTAATGGTAAGACGCTGCGCTACAATCTCAAAGGCACAGGATTTAAATCGACCAGCTGCTCTATGGGAGGATGGGCAATCTCCTCTCATGCGATGAACTACCTCTGAAAACCTGCTGGAGGGTCAGCTATGAGTTGGTTCTACTTCAACAGCACACAACAACAATAGGGCTACCAAAAGGAAGCTCTGTTGGCCTGGCAGTGGGAAGTGCATTGCCAATCTAAAGGCAACCTATCTCCCATCCAAGAACTAACCAGGTCTGACTCTGCTTAGCTTCGGAGATCAGACGAGATCGGGCATGTTCAGGATGGTATGGCTGTATGAGAACAGAGGCACAAACTGAGATCTGTACACCAATGTTCAGAGCAGCATTATTCACCATCGCAAGAACATGGAAATAGCCAAATGTCCAAGCATAAACGAATGGATTGAGAAATTATGGTACATTTACACAATGGAATACTATGCAGCATGCAGGAGCGATAACTTTGTAAATTATTACCTAACTTGGGATGGAATGGAGAGCATTATGCTAAGTGAACGAACTCAGTCCCACAAGGATAAATACTGTATAAGACTGTTATTGTAACAAACAACAAATGCTGGCGAGGTTGCGGAGAAACTGGAACACTTTTTCACTGTCGGTGGGAGTGTAAAATGGTGCAACCACTGTGGAAGGTGGTATGGTGCTCTCTCAAAAAGTTGCAAATAGAAATACCATTTGACCCAGCAATTCCATTACTGGGAATATATCCTAAAGAAACCCTAACTGTCACCCAGGCAGATATATGCACACTCATGTTTATCATGGCTTTGTTCACAATATCAAGGATTTGGAAACAACTCAAGTGCCCATCAACAAACAAATGGATAGAGAAGCTGTGGTATATTCACATACTAGAATACTATGCTGCATTGAAAAACAAGGAACTCATGCAGTATTATTCAAAATGGGTGACCCTAGAGGACATTATGCTGAGTGAAGTATCTCAATCACAAAAGGACAGGTGATCCATGATGCCACTATTCTAGAATGAGAATGACATCAGGGTTGGAGTGAGACTGAAAAAAACTGGATAAATTATGTACACTGCATTGAAACAGATGAGGAAGAGAACTGTTTGAAAGCGATATATGTATGGGTATTATGGTTATGACAAGAGTCCAGAACGAAGGTTGCATAGTGGAGTACATACTCAGGGTGAGGGGTGGGGGATTCTATACCAATGAAATAATTTTTCTTTTACTTTTCAAAGAAAAGAACAAACTGGGGGGAGAGGTGTGCAGGGGGAAAAAATGCAACAATGAATGTATGGAAATCCAAAAGCTGTGTAAACGTTCATTAACACGTTGCTGCAAATGACGGTTAAAAAAAATGTGTTTCTAAGCACGGTCGTCAATGAAGTGTGCGGCAATGTGTTAAAATTATTTTTTTAAAAGAAAAAAAGACTGTTAATGTAGAATGAGTATAAGGATCCGGGAGAGGTGGAAGAGGCTGGAAGCAGAGGGATGTGGATGTGCAGGGGGAGAAGGGGATTAATCGTTGGGTTGTACAATTTGATGGGGGGAGAGTGAGGGAAATTGAAAGAATTTGTTTGAATCTGTATTCAAGTTTTGTAAATAAAGTAGGTTAAAAAAAAAAAGAGGGGTGCAATCTGTACCCACTAGGTGCTCTGTAGGCGAAAGATGGGCAACTTCCTCTCAAGTGATTTTGTTGTAGCTGGTGTTAAATGCCCTTTAGTCAATGTTGACACTGTCCATTTTATGACCAATGGATCAGAATCCTAGTCTATCCTGTGCTACCCTGACCTCTGACACACTCGAGCCCACTATTACAGTCACTGTGCCAATCCATCTTGTTGAGGGTCATCTTCTAATACTTTTTAGAACAATTAACAAAATAAGATTAAAAGGGCATCATGTGCCCAGGGATAAAGGTCAGCAGCCAGAAAAGGGTAGAACAGACTGAATGGAAAACGTGAGGAAGAAGTACAAAAGGGTAAGAGTGCTGTGTTACATGGGAGCAATGCACTAAGTCCTCACAAAGCCACCCCCATCTACATGGGTATATGAATTGTCAAATGAAAAGCCAATGGGCACTGTGAATTTTCATAGGAATCACAACAAAAAGTTAAAAAAGGAGGAAAGAAACTCTAGTACTTTATCTAATGCACTGAGCTGAGGTTCAAACTCAAATTAACTGCTCTTGAGTTATAAGTGACTAATAGTTGACCTGCCAGCAGGTATTTAGGGCAGTGAATACCACAGGAGGAGTGTGTCCACCTTTCTCTTGAGGAACAACTGGTAGGTTTGAATTGCATGCCTATACGTTGGCAGCACAACTTCTTACCACTAGGCCACCAAAGCTCCCAGTTCTAGAACCAATTCCATTACTAATTATGACCTTTTGAAGGGCACTGAAATCCTGAACCCTGTCCTCACAAACATGACGCTGTTCAGAAATTAGCGTTGTCACATGATGTTGAAGAGGGAAAGCTAGTGTAGCTGTGGTTGGTTGGTGCTGCATGTCAGTTCCCACAAATAGTGACCCTAACCACAACAGAACGAAACCTGCCTGCCCTGCACCATCCTCACAGTCCCTGGTATGTCTGAGATCAGTGTTGTACCTGTTCTGTCAATACATTTTCTTAAGAGTCTTCCTCTTATTTGCTGACTCTCTGATATCCTTGCCCAGGGATTAGTCCCTCCCGACAACTTGCATAAAGTATGAGAGAAGTAGTCTCACCAAACTTGCTTCTAAGGAGCATTCTGGGTGCATTTCTTCTAAGACAGATTTGTTTGATATGTTGGCAGTTCAAAGCCATCTTAGTTGTCTAGTGCTGCTGTATCAGTGATAGAAACCCAAAGGCACACAGTTCGAATTCACCAGCAGCTCTTCAGGATAAAGATGGGCAATTTCCTTTTGCGTGATTTTGTTGTCAATAAGGGTCATCAACTTCTACTCACAGTTTTTTAAGTCTTTAGGTAAAGATGGCTTAAACCTACAAAAATCAATTATCTTATTGTTTAATAGGTTAAATATCCAAAATTAAGGTGAGTACATTTTCAGTGCTGGAGAAAAGCCCTTGTTTCCTTCAGCATCTGCTGGCCTGGCAGTCCTTGGAACCTCCATGTGTCCTTTCTCAATGTCAGTCAAGGAGCTTCCTCATGCAGGAATCTGAGTTCAAAAGGATGTGCACTCCACTCCCGAAGTTCTGTCTTGTTGGTGCTGAGGTCTCTTTCTGGCCTAGCCTTCCTCCTTTTTTAACTCTAATGAGATAAAAGGTATTGCACACCACACTCTAAAGAAACCTCCTTTACACAGGATCAAGGAATGGTGCAATCCACCCTTATTCCTCTCACAATTGCTCAGTTTATCAGATCATGGGAGATCCTAACATAATTTCTAAATTATGTCATTACATATGTGTTTTTAGGGGGAGGGGCACAATTCAATCTTCAATCTTCACCAATACCACAATTCAAAGGTATCAATTTCTC